GGGCAAGGACTCGAGCTTCATCCCAATAGGAGGCTCAGTCCCATTAGTGGAGAACCGTCTTATCATCCAGGAAGGAACTGGTCTGAAAGGAATTAGTTTAGAGGCATAGTCAAACTGTTAAAATCCCACAGTTTTCAAAAATCTGGGATTTTTCAGAAGTAGCACCTTCAGTTTCTGTTGGTGAGGCATGTAGGAATATGAGTACGGATTTGCAATGCCGGATGAGCTAGTCTTATAATTAAGTATAATACACTCAGAACAAAGAGGCAAATATGCATGTTGGTGGCAGTGTAGTTATGGATGGGAGGGGAGCAATTTTATGTTGGTATTCTCTAATCACTCAGATCTATCCTGTTTTCATAGCTGTTATTTTCAATTTTAGTTAGTTCAGGGCACATCTTTTTTCTCTTGAGTATCTGAAAAAGCTCAGCTATTATTATATTCTGCTCTGAATTTTTCCTTTTTCCCCCCTTGACTTCCTAGTCTTCTTTTGTCTGTCTTGTTCTCATTTCTTTTGTCTGTGTGTCTGCAGGTGGCTTTTATAGCAAAATCTCATTGTGCTTTCCTGCCCTTCCTCCCATCCTCTCCTGTTTTGTTACTGCATCTCCTGTCTCATTTGTTCTTTTCCTCATGCCTGTAACTGCCCATTTACTAATAGATTCCATTCTGTGCCTATGGAGTTTTTTTCATTTTCCCTGTCTTCAAGCACTGAATCATTGAGTTCATTGCTACAGAAAGGAATGAATCCCCAGGCCACTCCACAGAAGAGGTTTCACTCTACCATGGCTGAAGAGGAGGAGGGTAGTGGCTGAGCTTAAGGGACTTTCATGGCAGCTTGTTGGCTCTCAAACAATGAATAAGCTTATTATTGCTAGCAGCCTACTAACATCTCTTCCTCTAAGCCTGAGTATTTCCCATAACCATGGCAGCTTCTTGACAAGAAGAACAGCACAACTTATTCTGTAAACAATGCAGAAAACAAACCAACCAACCAGCCAGTTTTGGAGTTTTCTCCTTGTCTTACCATATTCATACATACGACCATGGTGTGTCAGGCATTTCTACATTGGGTTGGTATTTGTATTTAATAATTCCTGAGATGCCCATTCCTTGATTTCTGAATGAAGTGCATAAATTAGATATGACACCAACTTAATTGGATAGAGCGCAACATAACTACAGCAACTAATTACATCATTGTTGTCACTGTGATGCACACTAAAGCCACTCCAAAATTCACAATCAGGGAGAGGTGGAAACACACCAAAGAAAGCACTTCACTTGAAAAATGCAGTAAGCCGTTAGCTGTGGCATCTGGATACAAGTTTCAATTGCACAGGCTGAGATATAGGTCAAGATAATAAACAGATAACGTAATGATCAGTCTTCATCTACTGCTGGCACTGTGACCAGAAGCCGAAGCCTTAGCCGTTTCTAAAGGTTCATTGTTGGTGGCTGGGATTTAAAACCCACTTTCTCTAGCTATGCACTGGTTTTGGTGTAGCTTCCTTCGAGTATGTATTTTCTGCTCCATTTGCCTCCCACAAGCTTTTCTACACCTAAACCTCTTATGAGGATAACAGTCAAAAGCACTCTTCAGCATCTGAAGACCTTCTTTTTCTTTTTTCGAGTATGCTGTAGTTGCTCAGGGCTAAGCCTGAGCTCCCCCCAGTGGTTAGATTCTGACCCCCCATCGCAGTGCCTGCTGCAGAGTTTGCATTACACCATTGTTGCTTCAGTTACAAACATTTCCTAAAGAGCATCCAAATGTAGGTGAATTTACCCATCATCATTATGTTGACTATGTGTGGAGAAAACAACGTGTCCCATTTGCTCACTTATTTCTAGAACCTCAAAGATAAGGAATCAGATCAGACACAGGTTAGCAGGGTTGCAAACAAATGCGACATTCAGCTGTTATGGCCAGTTAGGCTAAAATTCTGTATGATACAGATTTAGACAAATGCATATATCAAGCTGTGACTTTCCTTTTAGGCCCTTGGAGTCCATTCCAATGGGAGTCCCTTTATAAACAGGAATAATTATTCAATATTGTTCAATGCACCTTGCCAGAGTTTGGCCTTTTGCTTAATTGACTTTGTGCAAATGGCCAATTGAACGAGTAATTTGAAACAGTGTCCTCTATGTGATGACTTAGTCTTGTGTAAGCATCTGGGTATGAGTGAGGGGCACTGTGCAGTCAGTGCGGCAGTGAAAGAATGACTGTCATTAGTTTGCTTGAAATTCATAATTCAGGAGACTTCTGGGCTTTTAACAAGACAAAAGAGAACTCAAAGATGATCTGGAAATGGAAAACCTATTTCTTTACATCTTCATAGACACTCAAAGAACCAAACCCCAGTAATATTAGTAACTCAGCAACCTAGTAACAACATAGTCTGCCACTGAACACCTGGAGGAAAAACAAGTACACCTAATTCATTTCCCCAAGTACATTTCTGGGATAACTTTCTTCATTATGTTTAAAGAGATAACTGAGTAGAAATTATAGGTCTAAGTAAGAAACACAGCTAGAAAAACAGCCATGGTTAACTACACCTTATTTACATTGTTTTTGCAAGTCTCCACAGCTGCAAGTCACTTTGGCAGTAAATGTAGAAATACTAGTGCTTACAATACTTCCATCACAGCAAAATCATGATGTTTTGACAGACTGAATAGCAAGAATTGCCACAAGGGAACTTTGTAGTAGTAGCATCTCTGAAGTGTTGATTCAGATTTACTCAGAAAAAAATTTGTAAATGTAGTGGTAAAAAGTTGACACCTTCCTTATGTTAAAGGTCCCACTCATGCTGGTATCTTTAGAGCTGCCCTGTTACCGAAATACGGCTGTGCTGGCATTCCTCCTCAAAAGCGTACTTGCAGATGCAAGCATAAAAGAGAGACATTTGGAAGACATGGATGGTTTGGAAAGAGGGGTCAGCTATTCTATGGTTCAAGCCATTAGAGGAAGAGGCTTTCCTCAGGTGTACTCTAGAGACAGAATGGGAACAGAATAGGATTAATGAATACTTGCTCCAAGAGTCATTCCACTTAGTTACATCAGCCATGCCGCAACCGTAGCTGAACAGAAACTTACTGAGAACTTTCATTTATTAGAAAACAGCAATTCATAAAATAACAACTGTTTCTGTGAAAGGGTTGACTTAACAAACTCACCCTTTCAAAGTAAACCTATCAAAGAGATGTAAAAAGTGTTCCAGTACATTTTTAGGTAATTCTGGAACAGAAAATTTCTGCTTTTCACCTAAAATAACATTTCTCTTTTAAAAAGTGAGCCAACTTATTTTATATATATAGATATAATTTTGAAATAATAATTAAATATTTCTCCTTATCTGACACAAAAACTTCAGATGTTATCTGGTAAAAGAAAAAAAACACTTACTGAAAAGCTCCCTTGTTATAGGAAAATAATTTCTTATTCAGCTTTACCTACTGTCCACAACTAGTTTGTTCCTTATTAACAACCAGTAACAGTAAGAAGAATCATACTGTTATCAGATGGTAGCACTTCTACCATTTTTCTTAAGTTGCCTCAAGGTGCCTTCACAACTTGTTTCTGTGTGTATGTGGTAGGCGGATGTGATTACACTGCTCTGCAGAGGCAGCCTCAGCCTGAACAGCACAGACTGCACCAGGCACTAGCAGCGGTGAAGAAGAAGAAAGTTAAAAAGTACCTTAGCTTTCCTTTTCTCTCCCAGCAGTAAACCTGTTAACTGGCTTCAGAGCTCCTGCTCATGCACTCAGCCTTCATTAATGAGCTGTGGAAAGCCAAGTGGCTGAGTTCCCTTAAAATCTTGGCAAACTGCAGCGACATTTGGCTCCTGCCAGATCCTGTGGGCACTTGGGGGGTGGTCCACTCACTCCATACCAGTAAGCCTTCTTTCCCCTAACTGCTCAGCTTGCTTTCTATATGATCATAAGCCTGTGCTTGATGCTGTGAGAGTTACTGTATGGTCACCAATTCAGCACCATGGTTTAATTGCAGGAGAAAAATTACCTCGTCTGTGATTTCAGAAACCATGATAAGGTTCTAGGTTTGACAATCAGCTCCAAATATCTCGAAATAAACAGCCCGGAGAAAGACTCAGCAAAAAAGATATGCTGACCATGTTGAAATCTGTTGAAATTTAGGTTTGCAAATTGAGTACAACATACAATCTGACCAAACTGGAATCAAACGTTAAAAACAACTAATAAATTATGGTGTATATTAGAAAGAAAAGTATCCGGGCTGTATTCTCTCCTGTAAAGGAACAAATTAACTACAGAATGGATATAGGGCGAGTGCTGGTATAAAACTGTACCTAGGCAGTAATTAGGTCCTGCTTTTAGGTATGTCTGCTACAGAAAACTTTATTTTGGTATGATATTGTGATACCTATTGTCAGAGAAAAGGAGAAAACATAAGGACAAAGTATGAGCTTTGAAGAAATTACCTAACGAAAGTCACAAGCCAAAATTGCACATTCTGCACCATGGGGCATGTCTACAGAACACAACATAATTCTGTGCAAATAACCAAGCTGGTTCTGGTGCTAAAAGCAGTGTAAGTGCATATATGCACCAGCATGCCTAAGCCCATTTAAATTAGCCTGGCTATTTAACTACACTACTGCTGTCCTGTATTCAAGCTACCTTGGAATAAACTTGAGGTTTTGTTTTGTATTCTGATGCTGCAGCAAATTCAGACTTTATATTGGTGTTCAATTGTTTGAAAAACTATTTTTTAGTTCAAAGATCTTTCTTCTACAAAAGTTAGCACGTATTGCTACAATAATTCATCAGCCTTTAATCATGCCATTAACTGTTTGAAGTACATGTTTGCTGTACTCCAACTCCCACTTGGCAGTAAACAGTGCTTTGTTGCATTAAATCTCATGACAAATCCTGTCTAATCTGTATTGGGTAATGATGTTAAAACCTTAAGACTGATTAATTTTTTTCTTAATGCTTGTCGATTTTCTTTAATACAGATCCACCACAGATGAATAACATCATGCCAACATCTCCCCTCCTTCCTCAGATGGCACATCAACATTCATATCCCAGCCTGGGACAGATCACAAACCCATATGAGCAACAGCCTCCAGGCAAAGAGCTGAACAAGTACGCCTCTCTGAAGGCAGTTGGTAAGGAACATGATGCATGACTTCTCCTTTAGAGGAGTATGTTGCATTTGCTGTGTTGTCAGCTGACATTCTGCTTCAAAGTTAAAAACAAAGTCTTGCTCATCTGGACTACTTCGTGACAGAATTTCACACAGAATACCATGTTAGTTGGAAATGTATTAAAAATTATCAGGGAGACTACAATTACTGATAAGAAAACTACATGTAAGAATTGGTGATCATATGCACGTATATGCATACAAAACCACACCATACCTACTGTACACCATTTTCCAGCAAGTTTCACCTGCGATGCATGCACAGTGTTCAGCCCTAGTTCTTTATGCCCTGAATATGCCTACACGTGCATTTCGGTATGTATTCTCCATACCTATCTGCACAAATGAAAGAAAAAACATCAGATACGTTGCAAATTTAAAGCACATAATATAGACACCTGTTAAATACTTTCAAAAAGAGAAGGTACTTGTATGCTTCTGAAGTAAGAGCTTTCATATTTTCTGCAGGATGTGCATTAGTAGGTCCCTGAAGGAATATTCTGAGGCCTTACGATTTCCAACAATTAGTGTATCATAAAGTTCCTAATGAAGATTCCAGTGGTGGATATTTTCTGTGACTGATAAATAACACACACTATCATTTAAGGAAATGGGGAAACATCCTCAAAGAAACAGTTGTGGGAAGGGAAAAGGACAATAGGGGTAAAGCTTTCAACTTAGTTTTTATATTGGAAGCACAAGCTGAAAATACTTTTCAGGGCTGTAAATACCTGCTGCACACCATACGAAGACAGAAAGTCTTTATCACCTCACATTTCAGGCTCCTTCCAGACAATAATAAATTAAGAACTGGGGGAGTCTATTCATAAGCAGCTTCTCACTAACCCTTGCTCAGCTTACACATATGAATGTTAACATCATTCTCCCATGAATTTAGAGCAGTATCACGCTGCCTGTTTCCAGCTATTTAGCTCAGAAAAACAGCAGAACAGCTGAGAACATTCTGACTTAAGAATCTAGCATTCATCATGCCAGAAAAATTTTTCATCGCAAACTGACATTCCTTTATCTGAACTTCAGGATAGCAGACCTCTAACAAAATGTATGTCTAAGTCCCATCTCAAATAGTTTAGCTTTGCTTTAGGTTGACATTTTTGTTTCTCACAAGGGGCATTTTAAAATTTGTTTAAAAAAGACTGGGATTAATAGGTTTCTGCTGAATTTTGAATACAGACAGAATAGCAGTGCAAGTCCCTCTTCTAACAGTGACACCGTGTAATGTTATCACAGACTTATACACTAGTATCAGGCTTCTTTTTCCAAATGTCAATTTAAGTCAAACAAAAATCAAAGCTAAAAGGTACTTAAGTATAATAAAATGAGAGATGAAATACTCAAACTTCTCTCATCTTCCCAAGAGCCACTGAATGCACTTGTTTTTTAAAATTATTAAACTAGAACTTAGATAATATCTTGGCTGGCTGAATACAAGTTTTTAAAGCAGCTAGACTACAACCATACAGTTAAATCAACACTGAAAGATTTTGCACTCGATCTCCACAAGTTGTATAATGCCTCTCAGAATCTTAAACTAAATTAAAGTAAACATAGCTTTCAGGGACATTTTCTTCCAGAAGGGTTGCACCATCTTCCTGTGCTTTTCCCCTATCCTTCCTATCCCATCTCTTGTTTTCTCCCTGTAGATCTACTGGTCTCAGACCACATTAGCCAAGTTTTAGATTCAGGTGAATTTTCACAACAAAAGTACAAAAGTGTTGCATTGTTATCCAAACTTTTCAGTAAAAACAACAGAGACTTTGAAACTGTTATACATTCACACCTTCTGTCTGGACAGATGGAGCAAGAGTTAAACACACTCAGTTTTTAACTACTTTCAGGCTCTCAAGGCCATGATTTCTCCCAAGAGGTACCTCTTGAGTACATCCCAAGATCACAAAGAGGTTTTTCATGACGCCAGCCAGGCCTGGGTTTGTGACCACGCTGACATCAAGGCAGCCAGACTGCACACTGCAGAGTTCACATGGGCTTTATGAGAGCTCTGAGACGAAATAGCAACAGGCCTACATCAGGCCCATCAATATAAATTTAACTTGACAACACCTTTTGAACAAATAGACACAGACAGAGTTCACCCTGCCCTGGTATTCATGTCACAGAGCAATGCCATTTTTCATATGCTAACACTCAGAGTTGCATTTACTGATCCCCATACCAGGTTAATGAGTACGTGTAGTCCATTTCCCTTTGCATTCATTGACAGTGGCTTGAGGATGGGTTCATTTGCTACAACAGAAATTTAATAAGGGATGTATTCTGTATTTCTCCATGCATTTCAGGCAAACCATATGCAGTTAAGTACCTCTTACTCTGCATGATCCCATTGTTTGGGTGTAGTCCCCTCTGCTTAATTCTCTTCTTTAATGGGGGTGGGGGTGAAGGAAGAAACATTCCTATTGCTTGGTACCAACTGCAGCTATAGCACATGAATATAACTCATCGTAACGTGGCCATAAGTGGTAAGAAGTTTAGATAACTGAAAAAGTGACACTTTACCAGAGGCAGTATTAAATTAATTTCCACACAGCTGCTTTTTTCTGAACTACAGATATCCTAAAAATTTGGCTGTCTAATTTTAGAAGTGAGCAACTCATCCCTCAGTGACCGGCTGCTGTGAAAATTCAGTTAATGGAAAAGTAGCAAGTCACAGAAATCTCTGTTCTGGATTGCGTTCGGCACCTGCATTAAGTTCAGTACCTAAGACCAAGCGCTTGTGAAAACAAGAGACAACAATGCCATTGCTATTCATTTACAATGTGTTACTGAATGAGAATGACCAATACCTTGGTAGCGAGGCCAAGCTGATCCCCAGGAAGCTATTTTAAAGCTACACCCCAGACTGCAAATCATCTAGCGTAGCAGAGTGCCGTTTGAAGTTGGGCTGTTCATGTACGTATGCAATGCAACGTGTGCGTTGCAGAGTGTCTGATTCAGCACAACAGGGGGGAGGAAAGTTGAAAAGGCCAATGTGAACATATTTTATTTAAAACCCAAAATATTTTTATGTGAACCAGTTCAAACTGCAGAGCCCAAACCTTACATACTCGACGAAAGAGGATATTTTCCTCATTTCTTGTTAGGAATTTCTTTATTTTTTGCAGACTTCAGAATTCCTTAAGCACTGGCCAGCAGCAACTGACCAAATTCACCTTTTCATCTTACTGTCTGCTATCATTTACATCTCTGAATAGTACAAGGACATTCTGTGCCTATTCCATATTCACAGATGAGTGCTTGGAGTACAACAAACTAACAGTGAGTTGAGATTTACTTACTGTTTTCCTCACTGGACCAGAATTTTCCTCTCCTTCTACCTTAACACATACACCACCAGGGAATAATCAGCAGAAGGTAGAGGACCCCTTGGAAACGAGACAAAGCAACACACACTTCTTGAAAGAACAGATAAGCAATCCATCTCCGAGCATCGCTAGCCTATCTGACTGACTGACAGGTGCACTCTGTTCATCCATTATTTGTCCATTTTTGAGCCAGAAAAATCTGTTTTCAACAGTGCCAACTTTGTTCCACCAAGGAATGTGAGAGACTGTATCTGAGGGAAAAGGGTTAACAGGCTCTAAGACCAGTCCCACCAAAAGTGGTCACCGAGTACTGCGTGTCAATAAAACACCCAGCGTTTAGATATTTCAATTTTTGGTCACCTGAGATGACATGATCCTGGTTTCCTTAAGTGCTGTTGCAGTATTTGATTATTTATGTGAAAAGTGCAGAAAGAGGTTTTTCTGCATAAATTATTCTTATTTCCAGTTCATCAACCATGTTTTTACTCCATGCTTAAATGGTTATTGCTCACTTAAGCAATCTTGACATGCCTAAAGCCACAAGTGGATGGAGATTTTGTATCTGAACACCTTAATGAAATTCAGGTCCCAGGACGTACAAAAGTAGCTCATCACAAATTTTTACATGCATCATTTGGGCACTCATTGAGAAAGCATGAACAATCCAACTTTAAATTCCACTCTGCTGAGCTGTAAGAGTTACAGTCCATCCTGTTGCTTAATAAGAGTTTCCTAGAGCTCAAATTGGCCTTGCTATCCTGAGGTATTAGTTACATTTATTATTAGTTACTTTGTTCTGTGGGCCTGGCTCAGCAACAGTTAATTTTCTTTCCTGAGTTTCAGGGAGTGCAAAGTGACTAACCTCCTTCAGAGCTGCTTACAAAAACTAAAAAATACCCCAAACCCAGCTTTCTAAATCTCTGCAAGACCGGGAGAAAGATCACTCAGCTGCTGGAGGGGTGCACAGACGTACAAGTGAAAACTCAGAATAGAAGTATTTCTACAGTTTAACATGATTTCATATTTCTTTTATAAACTTTCTTCTTCCCCTCTTGCACACACACATACACACACAAATCTTTGAGGAACTGACTGGGCATGACTTAAGAAGAGATAACTCAGTCAGATTAAAGTTTTGCCCAAAAAAAAAAAAAAAAAAAGAGATATATATATATATATACACACACACACACAATGGGCAGAATTTCTCCCTGAAACTCAGACCCAGAAAGCCTTCAGTGATGTTGGGAGTTGTAGTCTCCCCTGGGATGAAATCAGATCTAATTGATTGGATATAGTGAAGCTAGAAGGAGGATATAATCAGCAGCAGACTCATTATCACATCTCTGAGTCTGCAGCTCCCAGCATTTATTGAAGATTCACAGGTCTTTGATCCCAAAGGAAAAGTTAGACAGTGCTCCAGCTCTGCTTGCAGCTGCAAAACTCCAAAGTGAGAATCTGCAAATATGACTCTGAAAAAACAAACAGCTCCTGGTTAGGTCACTGTTACTATGTAGAAAAATACTATGGCCACAAGTGTGCCAACACACTAGACAACACCTCCCTCAGAAAGGTGAAAAAACTGCCCGGTCTGTTTGCCCTTTACATCTACACACACAAA